ATCCTTGGAAGCCACCGTCTGCAGGGGAAGCTGATCCCCCTCAGAGCTGACCACAGGCAGGACCAGGGGCCTTCATGGAGGGTGGGGGGGAGAGGGAGAAGGAGGGAGAGAGGGAGAGGGAGAGAGAGAAGAAGTAACCTTGTCTGTGTCTGCCTGGCCCTGGGCCAGGCACGGCTAAGCCTCAAGGCCACGATGTGCAGAAGGACCCAGGAAGCAGGAAGAAGCGCATCCTGGCCCCTGCAGGGCCACGGAGAAGCCTCTCGAGGACTTGAGAGGTGGCCAAGGGTGTGGCTGGCGTGCCGAGGCCCTGGGATCAACAGCCGGCATGAGAAGGAGGGGAGGAAGGAAGTCCCAACCAGGCAGAAAGACCTTCTAGGATGACACCGTGGCTCTGCAGGAAGAACTAGCGACTCTGGGACTCGCCATGGGGACAGCTGGCTGACGGCAGCCGCAGGGGGACCCACCAATGGGGAGGAGATGAGGCGGCCCTCGGGCCTGCAGAGCCCTGCTGGACCAGCGACCCCTGGGAGCCCATCCTGCAGGACAGGCAGAAACGGAGGCCCAGAGAGTGTGCCCAGGAACGCACAAGCCCTCGTCTCTCTGATTCCAAAACGAGCCTCTTTCCCAACATCATGGGCTTTTTGCTATCCTGATCCCTTTTTTTTTTTTGGAGGGGATGGGGGGTGGAGGTACCAGGGACTGAACTCGGGGGCACTCGACCACTGAGCCCCATCCCGAGCCCTGTTTTGTATTTTATTTAGAGACAGGGTCTCACTGAGTGGCTTAGGGCCTCACTTTTGCTGAGGCTGGCTTTGAACTCGTGATCCTCCTGCCTCAACCTCCTGAGCCACTGGGATGACAGGTGTGTGCCACCGTGCCCGGCACTATCCTGAACCTTTTAAGAGCAGGACTGCAGGCACTGGCCCAGTTGCTCAGACTTTTCTAGCAGGTCATGTCTGCAAGGGAGAAGATAGGCCATAGTGCTAAATAAAGGCCTCCATCAGACCAGACTCAGCATTTCCAGGGAGGAAGGCTTCCTCCTCCTGGTTCCCACATATCCATCCCCGGGGGAACTCAGCTTGGCCTTGCTCGGGCCACTTGTTCACTTCTGAACCTGTTGTAAGGAAATGCCAAGCTCTGATGGGTCAGCCCCTCAGGACAAGACAGGACAGGGTGCCATGATGGATCTGTCTCCATCCAGGACCACAGGGGGGCGTTGAACCCTGACTTGGAGGGTCAGGAAAGGCTTCCCAGAGGAAGTGGTATCTACTGAGACCTGAAGGAACAGCAGGAGTGTTCCAGGTACAGAAACAGAGGACCAAGCTGGGTGCCATGGCACACGCCTGTCATCCCAGAGGCTAGGAGGCTGAGGCAGGAGGATCGGGAGTTCAAAGCCAGCCTTAGCAATTTAGCAAGATGCTAAGCAAGTCAGTGAGACCCTGTCTCTAAATAAAATACAAAATAGGGCTGGGGATGGGGCTCAGTGGTCCAGTGCCCCTAGGTTCAATCCCAGGTACCAAAAAAAAAAAGAAAAGAAAGAGAAACAGAGGACCAGTATTGGGGCAAGTAAAAAGGCCCAGGGATGCTCCAGAGTGTGGCCCACTCACAGCCATATCCCTCATGTCTGGAGCCCCAAGTGCTCCCCACAGATGCTCAGAGGAAACTTCCGGGAATGCAATCCACAGCTGCCTGGGTAGCCTTAGACTCGCTGCTTGCCCTCTCTGAACTTTAGTTTCCATCTCTCATCTGGTGGTTAACCCTCCTCACCTTCCAAGGCTCTGCAAGAATCTCCATTCCTTCCGTCTCCAAATATTGACCCTGTCCTTCCTTGAGCCTCGGAGTAATCCTAGGCTCACAGGACACCAGGCCCCCTGTGGAAAAGTGCTTGGGGCTAAGACACAGGGCTGACTGGCAGCCAGAAATCAGAAAAGGGCAGTGAGTGTCCGCAAAGCCTCCTTCCTCAGGAAGGTGCATCGTGGCCCCTGTCCCCTGCCATGACCCCCTCCCCCCCGCCCTCCCACCCCCCAGAGCCCTCTGGTCTGTGCTGGACTGGCCGAGGGCAGTAGGGCTTTCTCCCGGACCTTTACAACCCGAATAACAGGTTGTGACAATCTCCGGCTGGAACAAGGAGAGTTTTTTCAGGCCTTGGTGGCTGCTATGGGAATTCTTGCCCCACCCCGTGTACCTTTCCCAGGTGTCGTTCCCCCGCCCACCCCCAGCTCCAGAGCACCCACAGGCTGCCAGAGGGGGCTGGTCCAGGGAGCAGGGAGCCCTGCGGGATCCAGGCGAGCAGCTGGGGACTCAGCCGGGAGGGGAGCCCTCAGAGTCTAGGCAGGACCTGCCCCAGATCCCCCTCCCCACCCTGAAGCCACAGTCCTGCTCAGCAAGAGGCTAGCCCTGCCCAGGTATGTGCTCGGGACCGCTCTGTCCCTGGGTGTCGCCTCTGTCTCTGAATCAGTCTCTCTCTCTCTCTCTCTCTCTCTCTCTCTCTCTCTCTCTCTCTCTCTCCCTATCAAGGCTCCCTGTTCTCTCCACCCTACTCTCTTTTTTTTGGTACCAGGGATTGAACCCAGGGGCGCTCGACCACTGAGCCCCATCCCCAGCCCTTTTGTGTGTCTTATTTAGAGACAGGTTCTCCCCGAGTTGCTTAGGGCCTCCCTAAGTTGATGAGGCTGGCTTTGAACTCACGATCCTCCTCCCTCAGCCTCCCAAGCTGCTGAGATTATAAGTGTGGGCCACCACCTTTCCTATCTGTCCCCACAGCTATCCTGGCCCCTCCAAGAATGTCCTTTAAGTCTCATCCAGGGGGCCAGGGCTCCTGGGCTATAGGTCACATCCCAAGCACTTTCAAAATCTTAATAAACTTTTGTATCTGAGAAGGGGAAAAAAAAAAACAGTTGGTAATTTGACTTTCAGGAAGTTAAGGTTCTACAACACCCTGTTTGTGGGTAAGGCTGGGTGACAGCTCAGACTTACCACCTGCCAGACCTTAGAGGAGGAGGTCAGGCAGGGAGCGGTGCTTTTGTAACTTGCAAAAGGAAAAACGTGGTTATTTAAATCAGAAGGGCTGGTCCAGCTGAGGGCTTCCCAGTACAGGTGGGGAGGCCCAGGGGGCTCAGAGAAGTGTGGGTACGGGAAAGGGGGCTGCTGGGGCCGGGCCAGGGCTGAGTTCAGGTCTCCTGGCTCTGACCTGAGTCCTTGGTGGCTGGACTTTGGAGGCCATGTCTGATGGACTTTAGGATAAAGAAGATTCTAGGGTGGGAAGGGGCCATGGGAGAGGAGGAAAGTCAAGGCAGGTGGATGGAGGAGGCCACCTGCTGCCCTAGGCCTGGTACCCGGGGCCCTGAGCTGTCTGTCAAAAGTTTCAGATGCGAGTGCAGCACCCCCAGCCCAGGCACCCCCAGCCCAGGCACCCCCAGCCCTGCCCTCCAGGCCCTTAAATCTCCACAGACTCCCGGGGAAGCTTTCAAAGCTGTGGAATCATTCACTGGTCACAGCCCAGCTCCTGGGGACAGGGGGAGAAGTAGGACCCAGCCCCTGCCCAGGACTTGGGAAACTGCCCAAGTTTCGAATCCAGTACCAGCCATGGGACCCTGTGGGGAGCACTGGGGATTCAGTAGCAGGAGATCTGCATCCCAAACCCTGGCCTCACCTAGGCAAGCTGCATGGCCACAGGCTAGACCACACGGCGCCTTCCTTACCTGACCCCGGGACGTGATGTGGCCACAGCGCCCGGCACAGACTCACCCAGAGAGGGAGAGCCCTGGGAGTCTTCATTCTGGTACAACAGCCAAGACCTCGGAAGCTCCTACTCCCTGAGTAACCGGGCCGGTTCCTTCAATATCTCTACTGACTGGGATGGGAGAGTGGGGGGCAGGAAGTGCGAGTGGATGCAAGGACGGGTGATGGTAGAGAGGAAGGAAGGAAGGATAAATGGATGGATGGCTGGGAGACAGGAAGGATAATGGATGGATGGACAGATAGGTAGGTGGGTGGATGGATGGATGGATGGAAGGAAGGATAGACGGGTAGGTGGGTGGATAGATGGATGGAAGGAAGGATGGATGGATGGATGGATGGATGGAAGGAAGGAAGGACAAATGGTTGGATGGATGGATGGATGGATGGATAAATGAATGGATGGATGGATGGATGGTAGGTGGGTGGATAGATGGATGGAAGGAAGGATGGATGGATGGATGGATGGATGGAAGGAAAGATAAATAGATAAATGGATGGATGGATGGATGGATGGATGGATGGATGGATGGATGGATAGATGGAAGGAAAGATAAATAGATAAATGGATGGATGGATGGATGGATGGATGGATGATGGATGGATGGATGGATGGATGATGGATGGATGGATGGGTAGGTGGGTGGATAGATGGATGGAAGGAAGGGTAAATGGATGGATGGATGGAAGGAAGGGTAAATGGATGGATGGATGGATGGATAGATGGAAAGAAGGAAGGATAAATGGATGGATAGATGGATGGAAGGAAGGATAAATGGATGGATGGATGGAAGGAAGGATAAATGGATGGATAGATGGGACAAAGGAAGATAATGGTGGATAGGTGGATGGGTAGATGGGTGGATAGATGGATGGAAGGAAGGATAAATGGATGGATGGATGGAAGGAAGGATAAATGGATGGATGGATGGAAAAAGGAAGGAAGGAAGGAAGGAAGGATGGATGGATGGATGGATGGATGAATAAATCAAATCCTCCAAGGAACAGCACCTCTCAGACCACTCTTTCCTCTACTTTCCAACCTCTGCACTTAAAAAACGATGTGATGAGCTGGATCTAAAATTCCAAGGTCACGAGTGGAGGAGGGGGTCGCAGAGAGGGAAGGAGGAGCATGCCACCCTGTTTGTGTGGCAGGTGGCGAGGAGACACCACCCGAGGGGTGAGGATTCCCTTGACGAGAGGCCCCGGTCATCTTCAGGGTCCAGATGCCAGTCTCTGATTGGACCTTCTTCTCTCCACAGGTTTAGGCTGACCGCAGGCCGCTGGGCTCCCGGACACGATGAGAGCCACAGGTAGGAGGGGTTCGAGGATGCTGAGGTTAGGGATGACATTCATCTCAGAGTCATGTTTTCTGACCTCCACGTCTGCCCGCCCTGGGTCCAGAGGTGGCGAATCTGTTGTCAGAGGCCCAGGGGGAGGCTGGGAGAGTGAAGGGGGAACTCCCTGCCGCTGAGCCAGAAAACTTCCTGACCATGGCCCTCCCAGGTGCTGGGACCGCAAGGGGGACCTCACCCTGGACACCTGGTGGGAAACTAGGGCCAAATATCTACCTCCTCAAACCACAGGGCCAGACCCGAGTAAGGTGAAGTCCTCACCCTGGCCCTGTGCTCCCTTTGTACAGGTAGGGAAACTGAGGCACCAAGCCCACCTCACTTGTGTTCCCCAGGCGACTCTGAGGAGCGAGAAGAACTGGTTTGAAGTCCCCAGCTGGCTTCTCAGGGTTCCAACCCCCACTTCTGTCACTCACTAGCCAAACGTCCTGGGGGAAGCCACGGCCTCTCTGACCCTCGGTTTCCTCATCTGGAAAATGGGCGTGATTGGCAGTATCAAGGGTCCGTGTGAGGATGAGCTGAGATCGTCAAGTACCTGAAAACTGTTTGTCAAATGTGAACTCATGACCCCCGGGGGACACTCACTGTGGCCAGGATGACAAAGGGTCCCCCAGCCCTAAGCCCCAGCCCACAGGATCCAGGGGGCCTCCACTCCCACACCAAGTAGCCATGGGCTACTACAAGGCCACAGAGTGAGTTCAGGGCTAAGGAGCTGACAGAGAGGGCAGAGGAGGGGCCAGGACCGGACCTGGGCCTCGAGGGATCTAATTCTGAAGGCAGCAGGAAGTTGAAATGGAACCTACTTTTAGGTCCCTCTAAGGCAAGAGGGTGGGACAGGGAGCTCTGTGTGGCTCATCCCCATGTGTGGGAGGGTCTCCCAGTGGCGGGGTGGAGGGTCAGGGGACAGTCTGGCTATGGGCAGGGGAGGCCCGGGAGCTGTGGCTTGTCTTGGAGCTACTGAGCAAGTCCAGGTGTGGACCTGCTTTTTTTTTTTTTGGTACCAGGGATTGAACCCAGGGATGTTTAACCACTGAGCCACATCCCCAGCCCCTTTTATTTTTGAGACAAGTTCTAAGTCACTTAGGGCCTCCCTAAATCGCTGAGGCTAGCCTCAAACTTTCAATCCTCCTGCCTCAGCCTCCCAAATTGCTGGGATTACAGGTGTGCGCCTCCGCATCCAGCTGATCCTACTTACTCTTGATAAGTATGTCGCCCCTCCCAACAAACCATGACTTCAGCCTCCCAAGACTGAGAGAGGGTTCAGACAAGAGAGACTGCCAGACCACGTGGACAGTGCCATTTTATTTTATTTTATCAGGGATTGAACCCAGGGGCATTCGACCCTCAGCCACCTCCCCGGCCCTTTTTATTTAGAGACAGGGTCTCACTGAGTTGCTTAGCACCTCACCATTGGCAAGGACATGGACATTATTACCGTGTCCATTCTGTGACTGACAGACTCCAGCACAGAGGCTGAGCTCCTGCTCCTCACACAGCACCATGGCTGTCTGAGCCCTGGATGTCACCTCCCCGACCTCCTACTGCAAGGGGCATCTCCCACAGCCTGCCTCCAGTTCTCCTGCTGTATAAAATACAGATTCCCTCCAGGCACAGTGGCGCCAGCCTGTCATCCCAGTGGCTTGGGAGGCTGAGGCAGGAGGATCAAGAGTTCAAAGCCAGCCTCAGCAGCAGCGAGGCTGCTAAGCAACTCTCTGAGACCCCGTCTCTAAATAAAATGAAAAATAGGGCTGGGGCTGGGGCTCGGTGGCCGAGTGCCCCCTGAGTTCAATCCCCGGTACCCAAATAAATAAATAATGCGGGTTCCCAGGCCTCGTTCCTAGAGTCCGTCTCTGGAGGTCTCTATGGAGCCCAAGAAGCTGGATTTTAAAGTCTTTCCCCCAGGGGTCACTGTGGGGACTGTCCGCACAAAATCTAGCAGCACCATCTCACCATGTGACCATCGCCTGAGTCACCTCGCGGTCCCACGGTCTGGTCTGCAGGGTGGACGCAGGGGGTCTCCTGACCTGGTCTCCCTGGTCTCCTGGCACCGTCCTCTTGCTCTCGCAGGTCTGATTCGCCTCCTGTCCCTCGCCTTGGTCCTGGTGGCCACCTGGATCTTCCTTCGCTCCTCCAACAGCTTCAGCACCAAAACCCTCCGCCTGCCGCGCTGGATGGGTGAGTGGGCTCCTCTGCCGGCGGAGGCTCCGCAGATCGGTGCCCACCAGGCCTGGTGGCCCTGCTTCTTCTCAGCCACAGGTCTCTACTCAGATGCCCCCTCCCCAGAGGAGGCTCCCGGACCTCCCAGCCACAGCCGGGCTGCTCCTCCTGCATCAGCCCGCCCCACGTCCTCCCTCAGTGGGCTCCCCGGCCGGGCCTCGCCGCCTCCCTGAATGCAGGTTACCTGGACGGCGTCCATGTGTCCGTCCGTCTCCCTAGCCCCTGGCCCGAGGAAGGGCCTGGTAAACGGTGGAGTGAGGAAAGGAAAATGGGTGGGTGGATGGATGGATGGACTGACAGGTGGGGGGGAGGGGGGAGATGAGCCAGGGGAGGCAGGAGGCCAGCTGGCTGCGACACATCAGCCTCAAGGTGCACAGATGCCCCAAGAGGGGGCGGAGTGTGACTGTGAAAGGGACCGGTGCAAGCTCCGAGGTGTGGTTGCACGTGTGTTTGAGAAAACCAGAGCCACCAAGGACCCCTCCGTTGGCAGAGTCCAGCGTCATCCGCAGTGATGACCAGGACAGCTCAGGGCTTCCCAAGACAGCCAGAAAGCAGTCACCCCGATTCTAACATGACTCCCCCCACTAGGAAGGTCTGAGGTCCTTCATCTTATCCAATTTTTTTTTTTTTTTTTTTTTGGTACTGGGATATGAACCCAGAGGTGCTCAACCACTGAGCCCCATCCCCAGCCCTTTTTTGTATTTTATTTAGAGACAGGGTCTCCCTGAGTTGCTTAGGGCCTCCCTAAGTTGCTGAGGGTGGCTTTGAACTCGGGATCCTCCTGCCTCAGCCTCCCAGGGCACTGAGGTTTTTGTGGGTTCTGTTCAGTAATTAAGTGCCTCTGAGTTCAACCTTTGGTAGCCCCCACACACACACAAAAGCCCACTAGTGTTCCACACTGGAAGGGTGACTTTCTTTGACATCAAAGGCTCCTACCCTGGGTGCAAATACCCCCGTTTTATTATTTAACACCTTAATATTGAAGCGCATGTATTGCCACAGGACACATTATTTTCTGTTGTTATTATGTTGATAGATCATTGGTTTCCCTTGTAATCCAACCTATTTTATTTTATGCATTTAATAACTTGCAATCTATTGGAGAAGGAAGTGCTAAGTGTCTCAAGGCAAATGGGGATACATCTATTCTGAGGGTGAGTTCCTAGGCTTTTCCAAGCTAGCAAAAAGGATTCATGGCATAGAAATTATGAAATTAAGAACTCCTGATTTACCTGGCAAATTAAGGGGGTTTTTTTCTGATAGAGGAGTCAAACTCTAACTAGTGTCAACTAAACTAACTTCAAGGACCCACACCTGGCTTCAGGTGTGGCTGAATCCAGCAGCCCCCACAAAGCCTCCAACACCTGTCTCTCTGTATCCTTGGGCTCTGCTCATGGATACTTCATCTCAACAGGGCAGAGACGACTTCTGTGGGCTTTCTCTCCAAGGGAGGCACAATGGCTACCAGATGTGCATCTGCACATCTTCTCACTTAGCAAAAAAGGCCCTCTCAGCCCCTCTCCCTCTTCCTCTTGCTAAGGGCCCAGGGAATATATCAACAATATCCAGAGAAATGGGACAGTACATACTGGCCCCACCTGGGTCATCGCTCCTCCTGGGACCTGGAAGGTAGAGGCCAGGGACACACCAGGTTGAACAGCCCCCTTAAGGACCAGATGGAAAGTGCTGGACCCCCTAAAACAGGCAAGCTCCCCGCTGCCATTCCTAGAGGAGCCCTGTCCACTAGGACTGACCCCCAGTGTGAAGGGAGACCCCACCTGGAAGGGCAGCGAGAGCTGAGACGCAGTGCCAGATACGGTGTCAGGAGGTGACCAAGGTCCCTAACGCCCAGCGCAGACAGTCAGCACCGCGGGCAGTCAGGAGAGAGGCTGCGATGGCCACACAGTGGTCCCCAGGTGCAGGGTCAGCCCCTTACAGACCGACCTTACAGGACCCTCTCCACAGCCCCTGAGACCTCCATGATGGTCTCCATGGGCGGCCAAGGAAACTGGTGCTCAGAGAGGTTAGACATCACACGCGGTCACTCAGCATGATGGAGGGTCAAACTCCAGGGGGTCCCGGGGCCCAGCCTGTCTGTAAACATGAGCGAGTTGTGTACATGTGTATGCATGGGGGTGCTCCAGCATGTGTGCAAGTGTGTGTGTGCACATGTATGGACAGGTCCACGTGTGTGTGTGGCCATGCATCTCTGTGTGCAAAGAGAGGGTTCAGACAAGGGGAACTGCAGACCATGTGGACAGTGCCATTTTATCTTTATTAGGGATTGAACTCAGGGGCACTCGACCACTGAGCCCCATCCCCAGCCCTTTTTATATTTTATTTAGAGACACGATCTCCCCAAGTTGCTTAGGGCCTCACCATTGTTGAGGCTGGCTTTGAACTCGAGATCCTCCTGCCTCAGCCTCCAGAGCCATTGGGATGACCCCTTGGGATGACAGGCTTGCACCCCAGGCTGGCGACAGTGCCATTTTAAATTCCCTCCTCCCCATGCGCCCAGCACCCCCCCACTCCACCCCATCCCCCCACCCCCCACTCCCTGCAGTCAAAGTGCTTCTCTCTAACCAGACTCTCTCCTCCCCAGGAGCTGAGGACCCCAGGAACATCATCGGTGAGTCCCCAGACCCCCCAGCTGCCCAGGGCAGGATGTTCCCTGCGGATCTCTCTGTAGGTCCCAGAGAAACCCAGGTGTCCAGGGCGCACCCAGCTGCTCCTCAGGGGCCGGTGGTGCCTTCTGACACCCCCCAAGCCCAGGGGCAGGGCGGCCCCCGCTCAGCCACGGAAGGCAGCGGCCCAGCTGTCCCCCTTCTTCCTGGCTGGCCCCGGCCACACCTCACCACGCCTGGCTGGGGGCCTGCGGCAGGCGCTGTACTCTTCATCACCGCGACCATGACCCAGGTGGGGCTGGGCAGCACAGAGACAAACAGGAGGCTGCTGACCGTCAGGTGGGGTAGAAACGTCCAGTGTGCCGCTAGAGGAGGGGACAGTGCTCTGGGCTCCAGGAGGGGCACCCCTCCACCAGCAGAGGGCCAGGAAGGCTTCAGGGGGGCCCTGCGCAGAACCTCCCAAGGACAACGCCCACGTGAAGGGATGCCCGGGGCCCCTGGGCCATGTGCTCAGGGGGAAGAGGGCCCTGGGAGGGCAGAGCACCGGATGCCACTGCGGGCACTGGACAGGGCTTCAGCAAGGCCCTGAGCTCCCCAAGGGCAGAGGAAGTGACAGGGAGGGACAATGACAGCAGTAGGGACCATCCGGGCTTCCTGGGTTCCAGACGCAGGTGTCTCATGTCATTCTAGATAAACCCCTGCACAGGTGATTGAACCCAGGGGTGCCTAGCCCCTGAGCCACATCCTCAGCCCTTTTTTGTATTTTATTTAGAGACAGGGTCTGGCTGAGTTGCTTAGGGCCTCACTCAGTTGCTGAGGCTGACCTCAAACTTCCAATCCTCCTGCCTCAGCCTCCTGAGCCACTGGGATTACAGGTCTGTGTTACTGTGCCCAGCTTAATTATCTCCTTCCTGGAGGGGAGGAGACTGAGGCTGGGAGAGGTGAGATGTCCCAGCTGAGGCCACGGAGCTCTGGTGGGGAGTGGGAATCAAGCGCCCCACCCACCCACCCTGTCTGGCCCAGGTCCTCCATATCTCTTTGCATGAGGTCATACCCTCTAGGGCCTCCATCTCCCACCCTAACATGGTGGTCACACTGAAGAGGGGCTTTTCCCAGCTGGAGAAGCCTGGTGCGCTGTGGAATCACAGAGAGCAAAGATTATGAGAGTGAACACAAACCCCTCACCCTACACCCTTAACCCATCTCCCCAAAGCCTCCTCAGTCAGATTCTGAAGCAGCCACAGAGGCTCGCAGGGTCTCGATGCAGAGGAGACATTAGACATCACTTGCTGGGGGAATGGCAACGTCAAGCTGATGTGCGTCCTCCCGCCCTGCCCGCTCCCATGACAGACATCACTAATCGATCCCTGCATCCGCAGCCTTTCCCCCAGGCCCTCAGGCAGCCTCAAGAGCTTCATCATCAAACCCCTACCAGGGAGGTCCAGTTCACATCTAGGAGAGCACATCCAGCCCCCAGGGGCTGAGACCCCCAGGCGCCATCAATTCTAGAAAAGCCCGCCGGAGCCGGCTGTTGACCTCAGGTTTATCAGGACTCGGCCGCAATGGATTAGGCTCCGGGCAAACTCCAGGGCTCGTCCCCAGGGCCCAGAGCCAACCCCACTCCCTGCACAGGTGAGGGCCTCTGGTCCCACCAAGAGCCAAGGAGCCTCTCGGGGGGCTGGAGGGGGGACCCCAAGGCTCAGAGAAGAAGAGGACCTTCACCCTGACGCCTTGGGCTTTATCAGCTTCTTTGCGGCTGTGACTAAAAGACCCGACCAGAAGGATTTTAGGAGAGGAAAAGTTTATCTAGGGGCTCTCGGCTTCAGAGGTCTAGTCCACAGACAGCAGGCTCCACTCCTCGGGGCTCGAGGGGAGGCAGGACATCATGGAGGAAGAGTGTGGTGGAGGGAAGCAGCTCACATGGTGACCAGGAAGCAGAGAGAGACTCCACTCTCCAGAGACAAATAGAGACCCCAAAGCCACGCCCCCAATGCCCCCTCCTCCAGCCACACCCACCTCCTCCAGCCACCACCCAGTTAATCCCATCAGGGGTCCATTCACTGGTTGGGTTAAGGCTCTCACTGCCCAGTCATGTCTCCTCTGGACCTTCCTGCACCGTCTCACACGTGAGCTTTTGGGGGACACCTCACAGCCAAACCATAACACCCTGTCCCCAGCTTTGCTTCTCAGGACAGCCCTTCTGGGTGTCCCCACTCCCTGACCTGGCTCTCTGAGTGATGTGGGCTGCCTGGCCCTCAGGTGTGCCCAGCAGGTGTGTGGACTGAAACCAGGGGAGAGGGAGCCTAGGAGAGGCATTTCTCTCCCATCCTCGGGGCTCCCCACTTCGCAGAGGGACCCCAAACCCAGCAGGGAGCCCCCATCAGCTCTCTAGCCGTGTGCCAGTGGCTTGGGTCCCAACAAAGGGGCACATTCTCCCAATCCACCGAGCGCCTCCCTCTGGGCCGGCAAGGGCCTGGGAGACCCTAACCAGGCTGACTGCTGTGGCCTCTGGGCCTGAGCTCAGCCCAGGGAAGATGTATGGAGCTGCTCCCTGGGAGGCCCAGGAGCCACAGGAGGATTTAACAAGGTCATGAACACAAAGTGGCTGCCCCATGCCGGGCACAGCAAGCCTCAGTGCGTGCAGGGGTCCCTCAGCAAGCCCAGGGGTTTGCTCCGGAGCACACAGTGGCAGAGCCACCCACCTGGCCCAGGGCCCGGGGAGAGTGGCAGCCCCACCCCGCGCTCCCTTTGAAGGTGACCCTGCTTATTCACCAGTCCCCCCTATTGCCAGGAGGTGCTTAGAGATGAAGCAGGACCTGCTGAGCCGAAGACCCACATGACGCCCCCACTCCCACAGAGCCTGCAGCTTGGGGTCCCCCCTCATCTCTTGCCAGGCACAGTGCTCCCCACCCCTGCCAGATGTTCCCCCACTTAGGGCCTCACTAAGTTACTGAGCTGGTCTCAAACTTTCAATCCTCCTGCCTCAGCCTCCCAAGTCCCTGGGATTACAAAGGTGGGTGTCCAGCAGGTTCCGAGCACCCAGCAGGAGGGCCAGCACCGCCTGCCTATTATTCCCTGTTGTCTCCCCGTGTCTGGTGCTTAGTAGATGCTCAGTAAATGAGCCAGTGGGGGGCAGGAATCCTGAGGAGAGCAGCTAATAGGAAAGATTCAGCTCATGAGGACCCAAGGAGAAGGCACCAGGGTTACCCATTTTACTGATGAGGCCGTTGAGGTGCAGGAGTTCTAAGACTTCCCCAAAGGAACCCAGCAAGACAAAGGCACCCTACCCTCCAAGCTAGAGCCCCCAGGTCAAAAGGGGCCTCGTGGAGTGCATGAGGCTGCTGTGGTCCCAGAATCCCTTCTGCCTGGCGACTCTGGTCATCAACCACCTCTCATCGTCCCACACGGTTAAGAGGCAGCGGGGCCGAGGCTAGGGGAGAAAGTCGGAGATTTTATTCCGGCGTAGCCAGACACACAGCCAGGGTCCTGTGCCCCTTTATGGGGGTCGGCAGAGACACTGCGTTGCTCCAGAAGGAGCAAGTCTCCCAGACTCCGGGATCAGAAGTCACCCAGCTTGAGCCTGCCCGGCTCCTCTCCCCCAGGTTCCTGCCCAAAGCCCCTGCCCACCACGTGTCATCTGTTCCCTCCCCAGAAACCAAGAAGACCAAGTGCGGCCTCAGCAAGCCCTGCCCGTCCAACTACTTTGCATTCAAAATCTGCAGTGGGGCCGCCAACGTGGTGGGCCCCTCCATGTGTTTTGAAAACCAAGTGTAAGTGCCCGGGGTGGGGGGTGGGGGGCACCTGTGTTTCCTTTCTTGCGTTTCATTTATTCATTAGAAAACCGGGTTCAGGTGAACAGGCCTGTGAGGCCAGCCCACACCTTCCCAGCCTTCCGGTCACTCCTGGTGTGTCAATCCTCCAGGGACCTCCAGGCCCACCCACCCTGCTTCACAGCTGGTCTCATTGACTCCCCGAACCCCCTGGGAGGTGGGGCTGGTCTTGTCCCTATTGTCAAAGAGAGGAAAGCCCCCCCGGCTCACCTGCCGAGCCAAAGGCAGAGCAGGATTAGAACTCAGGCCTAAAGGCCAAGTGCTGAGCCCATCCTCTGAGAGGGGATACTTGTGGGAAGGGTTCACGAGCCAGGCCAGGTGTAGCAGGCACAGGCGCTTCCAGCAGGTACAGTCAAGCCCTGCGACAGGAAGTTCATCCTCCAAATGGGTCAGGATTCTGAACCTAAATAGAATTCGATTCGATAAAACAAGGAACTTACTGGTTCCTGTATCTAAAAGGCCAGAGGTAGCAGGCTTCAGGAGCAGCTTGATCCAGGGTTCAAACTGTCTCATCGGGACTCCCTCTTAGGCCACCTGCAGCTCTGCTTTCCTACCTGTTAGCTGCCATTTTTTTCTCTACTACAAATGGACTTGTCCGTGTGGTTGAAAAGAGAGGCTACCCTCTGGAGTGACCCATTAGCCCAGCCTAGCACCCCACTGGGCAGAGAGTTTCCCAGCCTGGACTTCTGCTTGCCCTGGGTTGCAGGATCATGCCTGGCCCAATGAAGGCGGGTCTAGGCCTGGGAGAGAGACATCGGCTCTCCAGGGGACAGTGGGAGACAGAGGTGCAGCCATTGGGCCCAGGAACTGGGAGGTGCTACCTGTGGGGACAGAGTCCCAGACAAGGACCCCCCTCTTCCCTGAGCAGGCTGTTCCAGTCCAAACCTGCCATGAGCCACTCCTCAGAGTCCAGCCCCAGCTCTAGCTCCCCAGAGAAAACAGAGGGCCCGGGTTGGTCCGTGTGTTTCCAGAAGCTTCTACAGTGCACCCCAGGGGCCCCCCAGAGCCCCCAGCACAATAGCAGCCAGCGTCCCCTGCTCAGGACCAAATGTTGTACCTTGTCCTGTTCTTTGTCTTCAGCATCATGAGTCCCGTGAAGAACAACATAGGCAGAGGCCTGAACATCGCCCTGGTGAACGGTGAGTCCCCCCCACACGCACGCTCTTAGGAGGAGGCCGGCCTCTTCCTCCAGCAGACATGGCTCACCCTGCGGCCTGGGGGGGCCTCCCGAGGACCCCAGGAGGGAGGCCCACGCGACTCAGGGTCTCAAAGTCTTGCCACTTGCATCTACCCCAGGAGGATTCAGTTCTCCTAGGAAATGGAACCCCATCCTCCAAGCCACCCCCCCATGAAGCCTTTGGGGACAACCCTTCATTCATTTTATTCAACAAATAGGGACAGCAGCTACTTTGGGCCAGGCCCTGCCAGGGTGCAGGGGGGACAGATGTGAACTAGGAGAGGCCCTGGCTGCAATCCCCCGAGGGTGTCCCACATAGGAAGCTGGGATGGGGTGGGGCGGACAGGGGTCAAGAGCCACGGTGGTCAGGGGCTGGCCCAGAGAAAGGTGGGCGTGGCTCCTTCCCCCCGCAGAGGGGACACTGGGGGAGCAGGGAAGGGAGGGGAGGGGCAGGGCCTGTGATTGACACCGGCTCTTTCTGGCTGAACCTGAAAGCAGGCAGTTGATGCTGTGCCAGGAGAGCCGGGGCTGGGAGTGTGCTGCAGGGCCTGGGAATGAGGAGCTAAGCATCCTGCCAAGTGTGGATTTGAATGTCAAGGCTGGAGGGAGCCCTGCAAAGGCTTTGAGCAGGGCCTGAGGGGCAGCCCATCCATTCCCCACAGCCTCGGCTTTAGCAAAGGGGCGGCTAGAACCCCAGCAATGTTTACAGCAGCTCAATTCACAATAGCTAAGCTATGGAGCCCACCTAGGGGCCCTTCAACAGAGGAATGGATAAGGAAAATGTGGTCTCTGTGCACAGCCATAAAGAAGAATGAGATGATGGCACTTGCCAGCAAGTGGATGGAACGGGAGACCATCATGCTCAGTGAAATAAGCCAGTCCCCCAAAACCAAAGGCTGCATGTTCTCTCTGACAGTGGGGATGCTAACACCCAGTAACAGGAGAGGAGAGAAGGATAGAAGTTCACTGGATTCAACAAAGGAGAATGCAGGGAAGAGAGAGGGAACGGGAATAGGGAAGACAGTGGAATGAATCCAGCGTCACTTTCCCCTGTCCCTGGGTGAATGCCCAACCAGTGAAACCGCCCATCACGTCCAGCCACAAGAATGGGAGGTGGTACTCCATGTGTGATGGGTCAGATACACTCCACTCTCTTGTAGATCTAAAAAGAACAAATAAAAGGGGGGGAGGGGGTGCTGCCAGGGTAGCAGCAGCTCCTTCCCAGGGGCAGGTGTGCAGCAGCTCAGGGTGGCCTCTGACCCTCTCCATGCATGCCAGGCCCCAGAAGGCGGTCGGGGACCTCAACGGCCATCGCCCGACCGTGGCTCCAGCTGCAGATGACCTGGTGAAAACTGTGGAGTCCAGGAATCTGAACTTCTCTTCCCTGAAATGGGATTCCATCTGAGAAAATCCCTTTGTACAATCTCCATGAGGAGGCCCTTCCCTGCCCCTCACAAAGCCAAAAAGATTAAAAAAAAAAAAAAAAATCATACATGACAACGGGAGCTAACACCCCGCCCTAGCGGTATCGCTTCACCTTTCCCCTACACTAGAATCCAGCCGTGCTCAGTATCTCCACTGACCAGGTAAGAACCAGGCTCAGGAGCAACTTGCCCCCAGGTCACACAGCAAGATCTGGAGCTGACTGGTTCCTGATGGTAATCACTGTGATGAACCACCTCCTTCCTCCAGGAATGTCTCCAGGCAGGATAGCTGTGGGAATGTGCAGGGAATCAACTCGGGGCCTGAGGCTCCTGGTCTGTGTAGTGAGCCACAACCTAAGATCCCCATTTCTCAGCCCTTCAGTGGGCAGAGATGCATTTGAGAAAGGGTGCAGTTGATGCTATGCACCCCCACACACCCCAATTCCACAAAAACCCACCAACGTGCAAGATCGCAAAAGGAGTTTCGGGAGTCCATGCCATTCCCCCCCCCCACAAACACTTCCAGGGACCCCCCAGGAAAAGCCCTGCGTGGACATTGCAAGGCTCTGAGAATGGGAAGGGCTGCTCTGCGAGCCCGCCGCTGCCCACCGACTTCAGCACGCCGCCGAGCCGCCATCTCCTCTGCAACACCCCCATCTAGTGGTAAAAAAGTGGGAACTGCGACTTCCCTCCAGAACATTGAGGTTCCCGGACTCTGGAAACTGAGTACCCTTCAGCCCCACTGCAAAGCCCTTCGCCTTCAAAGGCTGGAGGACACGAGGTGCAGGTTTTCTGTGTAGGTGGGAGTAACGTGGACCATCGTCGTTATTTTTATTGTTGCTTTGCAGCTAAAATGCACCTTGTGCCTGTGCTGTTATATGAAACCTCACCTGGTTCCAACAGCCCATTGTACACATGCAAAAACTACACGACCTGAAGCCCCGTGTTAGCAATGGGCAGGATAAAACTCAGACTCACGTTGGTTAGATTCTGTTTTCTTCCAGAGATGCCCAGCCGCTGTTTTTGCACCTCTCAAATCAGCCCAGCAGTCTTTATATTTTTATTTATTTGTTTGTTTGCTAGTTGGTTGGTGGGTCCTGGGCATTGAACCCAGGGGCACTCGACCACTGAGCCCCATCCCCAGCCCTTTTTCATTTTCTATTTAGAGACAGGGATCCCAGACTTTCTCTCCCAAGGGTGGGGGTTGGGGAGAGGTGTTTGCAAATGTAATGCCTGTTCACAGGATGTCACAAAGAAGTAACTGAAAAACGGGGCAGCATTTTCTCTCTTGACATAACATCGCCAACATTTTAGCAGTCAGGGGCCGGTTCTGGAGGGACACCTTCTGAGAAATGCCTTATCGGGTGACATGGTCCCTGTGTGAACCTCACAGAGGGTACTCACACCGACTAAGGTGACCGTGATGTCACTCAGCGACCTAATTGTCTGGGACCATGTAATGAACAGTTCTTGGCACCTGTCAGTATATTTATTGTTTCTTAGTACGAAGGGCGAGCATTCTCCCATGTCCTTAAATATTTTCCACACCATTGTGTGTGTGTGTGTGTGTGTGTGTGTTTGGAAGAGGGGGTGGGTACCAGGATTGAACCTGAGGCACTGGACTACTGAGCCCCATCCCCAGCCCTATTTTTTATTTTATCTAGAGACAGGGTCTCACTGAGTTGCTTAGGGCCTCGCTAAGTTGCTGAGGCTGACTTTGAACTGGAGATCCTCCTGCCTCAGCCTCCTGAGCCTCTGGGATGATAGGCATGCGCCACCACCCCTGACTTCAGCCCAGCAATAATTAAGCACCTAATGCGGTCCTACATGCTCTTTACAGGACCTGATTTTATTTGATCCTTATTCTATTTTAGGCTTTAGGCTCCCCAGTAGCAAGTTTCCGAAAAGTGAGGAGGTGGAACAATTCCCAATACAGGAAGTTAACCGTTCCACTCTCTTACCCTCTAGGAACCACAGGACAGGTGCTGAGAAAGGACTCTTTCGACATGTACTCTGGAGGTAGGCGCCTCTGCCCGCACTGACATTCTGGGGTGGGCTGAGCCCTGCCCGTGGGTGAGGTCCCCTGGGTGCAGGCAGGGTGGGGTTGAGGCTGTCCCTGCGGCCATCCTGTGGTGTCCCCTGGGACCTCCCAGGCACAGATCCTGAGACAAGGATTCAAGTGCACTGGTTTCCTTGACAGGAGATCCCAGGAAACCTCCACAGCGGGGTGGGAAAGAGAAACAGGGAAAGAAGGCCGCCCACAGAGTGTCATCAAAGCCAGTGTCCAGTGCACACCTCAGAGACTGCCCGGTGGGGCCGGGAGCCGGGTGTTCTCAATCCTGACTCCCAGAACTTCCGGCCTGTGCTCAGAGAAATGACCACGCTGGGGCCAGACAGGCATGCACTGGAAAGGACGAGGACACAGAGCTGGGAAAGCAGGACTCGAGTTCAAGGTCACAGGGAGGAACCTCTAGTGGACCCAAGAACAGGACTCCGGAGAGGACCTCCCTGAGGCTCACACTCTGCACCTTTCTGCAGAGGTCTTCTCCTCTGCCTCTGCAGGGACCTGCTGTTTTGAGCTTCTCTGTGCACAGGGTTGCCCCTTAGAAGTGACTGACCCCCTGACCTTTGCACAGCTAGGTAGGACAAGCATTGTCCCCACCAAACTAGGATACCAGACGTCTAAGTTCCCGCCAGCAGCTTGACTTGTGGATTGATGCTTTGCCATCATCGTCTTCAAATTCTTTCTTTTTTTTCCTTTTTTTATCTTTTTTTTTTTTTTTTTTTTTTTTGGTAACAGGGATTGAACCCAGGGGTGCTTAACCACTGAGCCACATCCCCAGCCCTTTTTAATGTTTTATTTAGAGACAGGGTCTCTCTGAGTTGCTCAAGACCTCACTAAGTTACTGAGGCTGGCTTTGGACTCGCCATCCTCCTGCCTCAGCCTCCCAAGCTGCTGGGATCACAAGGGTGCACCACAACGACCAGCACGGTCCTCGATTTTTTTAATAATTTTTTAAATAAAATTCCCTGTGCTTTCCTTTTTGCCCTGGACTTCACGAGTTATGTAGCTAATTCTGCTAATAATCTGTGATTCCATTTAAGTACATTTACTGTGTGTCCAAAGTTATGGCCCCATTTACCTTTTACAAAGAAGCTATGACCAGGGCTTCCACCCATCCTTTTTTTTTTTTTTTTTTTACAGATGTAGCCCCCTGCTTTAACCTCTAGGCCCCTTTTTCCCAGACTTCAGCCATTCCAGAGCCTCTTTCTCAAGTTGTGCTATACCCAGAATCCCACCTTCATTGCTATCACTTCCCTTTAGAGTGGCACATATTTCTCCTTTTTGTGAGGTAGGATTGAGCCAGGGATTGAACTCAGGGCACTTGACCCCTGAGCCACCTCCCCAGCCTTTTTTATATTTTATTTAGAGACAGGGTCTCTCTGAGTTACTTAGAGCCTCACTTTTGCTAAGGCTGGCTTTGAACTTGAGAACCTCCTGCCTCAGCCTCCTGAGCCGCTGGGATGACAGGCCTGTGCCACCTTCCTTTCCTTTTTAACCTAAATAAATAATATCTTAAAAGGACACTCTATCGTTGCCCTAAGTAGAAAGCCATTATCACTGACACACAGGGGAGGTACCTATAAAAATAAATATAATGGAAGCCAGTCGGTGTGCTTTGGAGCTCACAGCACCCCCCAGGGCCAAACCGAGGCCTGTTGAGCAGAGAGTTGGACAAGTTCAAGGTGGTGTTAGAGACACAAGATGAGCCTGGCCTCGTGGGCAGCAGGAGAGCATAGGGGCCGCCTACCTGTCTGGGCTGTCGTGGAGGACCCTCCAGCTCAGCACAGACCACCCTTAGTGCCAACCCACGTAGGAGTGGGTCCGAGATGTGCAGAAGAGCCCAGAGGTCCTGAGAGGTCTCAGTCCCCTGGGGTGACCTTGTGCCAGAGGCTGTGATGTGGCTGCACCTCACAGGACCCCAGTGTCCACCCCAGATCACCTGAACGAGGACCCTCACGGCTCATGTGGTCCCTCACCCAGGACGAGGGCTGCAGCAAGCTCTGCCCCAGGACACTCCCTGCCCCTGGCTTCCAGTCCTGGGTCATTAGGTCCCCAGGTGAGAAGGGGAATGAGGGGACATCACTACCCCGAGGTAAACAGCACCCGCTTCTCTTCCTGCCCACAGATGCCAATCTCCTGGTGAAATTCCTTAAGGAAATTCCACGGGACACTCTGGTGCTGGTGGCCTCCTACGATGACCCGGGGACCAAGTAAGTGGGAAACCCCACCTGCCCAGCCACGTGCTGTTACAAACCACCCTCCTGCCAGCTCCATCTGCTGGTGACCTTCCCTAAGGAGATCAGCAGGCAGGTAGGTGCACAGAGATGTCCCGGGAGGTTCAGCCACAAACAGGAAATGCACCCCCTGGCCACCTACGGCTGGCGGGTTACTGAAATTACAACATGGTGATATATAATGCGTTATTATATATGCACACAGGAAGATACACCACATCACAAATGGCCATGTAGCAAGGCACGGTGGCACACAGCTGCAATCCCAGAGGCTCGGGAGGCTGAGGCAGGAGGATGGCGAGTTCAAAGCCAGCCTCAGCAACTTAGTGAGGCCCTAAGCAACTCAGTGAGACCCTGTCTCTAGATAAAATAAAAAATAGGGCTGGGGATGGGGCTCAGTAGTCCAGTGCCTCAGGTTCAATCCTGGTACCCACCCCCTCTTCCAAACACACACACACACACACACACACACAATGGTGTGGAAAATATTTAAGGACATGGGAGAATGCTCGCCCTTCGTACTAAGAAACAATAAATATACTGACAGGTGCCAAGAACTGTTCATTACATGGTCCCAGACAATTAGGTCGCTGAGTGACATCACGGTCACCTTAGTCGGTGTGAGTACCCTCTGTGAGGTTCACACAGGGACCATGTCACCCAATAAGGCATTTCTCAGAAGGTGTCCCTCCAGAACCGGCCCCTGACTGCTAAAATGTTGGCGATGTTATGTCAAGAGAGAAAATGCTGCCCCGTTTTTCAGTTACTTCTTTGTGACATCCTGTGAACAGGCATTACATTTGCAAACACCTCTCCCCAACCCCCACCCTTGGGAGAGAAAGTCTGGGATCCCTGCATCCTGAGCCGGGGTGCTGAACCCCTGAGCCCCATCCCCAGCCCTTTCTTATATTTTACTTAGAGACAGGGTCTCGCTGAGTCATAGGGCCTGGCGAAGTCGCTGAGGCTGGCTTTGAACTTGGGATCCTCCTGCCTCAGCCTCCTGAGCTGCTAGGATTGCAGGCCTGCGCCACTGCGCCCGGCTCCTGGTGCTCATCAAGCCATCCACCCCCGGATGGTCCTCTCTGGTCCTCTGCAGAATGAACGAGGACATCAGGTACCTCTTCTCCAACCTGGGGAGTTCCTACGTGAAGCAGCTGGGCTTCCGGGACAGCTGGGTCTTCTTAGGAGCCAGAGACCTCAAGAACAAAAGCCCCTTTGAACAGGTGGGTTCCTGGCCGCCTCCCACCCCCAGGAGCAGTGAAGGGCTTGGAGGATGCCAGGGAGGGATGGACAGACAGACAGACGGGGAGCGGGGTAGGGGCGGCAAGGACTGTCGCTCTCTGCGGACTTGTTGGAGGGAGTCTCCGTGCAGAGCCGTAGGGGAGGGCAGCCCCAGGCCATCTGCTCCCACTCAGGCTGGGCCATGGGGCCAAACCCCAGCCGCCTCTGGCACTTTGTAAAAGATGGGTCATGCGTAAACACAAAGGTGTCTAGAAATGTACCCAGAAAGAGAAGGGGGAGGAGGACAGAGGGGGAGGGCAAGTGACAGGGAGGAGAAGAGCTGCCACCGGGTCCCAGCTGGGAGCCTGGCAAACCCCTCCCCCTCCCCACCTGGAAAGGGAGGGGTTCGGACCAGCAGAGCCCCCCCCTCCTCTCCCAAGCAGGACCCCCACCCGAGCACGTGGAAGAAGTCAGGAAGGGTCCCCAATGTGTAGTTCCAGGTCACCACCGTGGGGTAGCCCTGAGCTGTGGCATCTGGGCAGTCCCCAATGTGGAGTTTGAGGAGCACTCCCAGGAGGAAGGAGGGAGGAGACCGAGGTCAAGGCCACCCCGGGAAATGCTGTGCCTTCTCCCCCGGCCACAGGCAGCCCCCCTCTCTGGACATCCCCAGCTGGGAGGGATTCCAGGAACCCGGAAAAACTGGCCGGGCCTTCCCCGGCATGAAGTGAGGACTGCACTGCTGCCCAGATCCCAAGGCCAAGGGCCAGTGGTTCTGAGATTGAGAACACTGAAGAGGGCAGACTCTGAGCAGAGGGCAGTAGGGAGCTATGGGAGGCTTGAGGAGGAGAATGGCAAAGTCAGGTTGATGATAAGGAAAACTAGCATCCCCTGAGTGCTTGCCCTGCTCAGGCACATGCTAAGCAAGTTACGCACAGGCTCTGATTTAGTACTTAACCATGAAGTCAGTATGATTGTTAAGTCACAGACAAAAAACCAAAAGCTTAGCCAGATGGAGTGGCCCATGCCTGTAATCCCAGCTGCTCCAGAGGCTGAGGCAGGAGGATCACGAGTTCAAAGCCAGCCTCAGCAACTTAGTGAGGCCCTAAGCCACTCAGCAAGACCCTGTCTCTAAATAAAATATAAAAAAGGACTGGGGATGTGGCTCAGTGGTCGAGTTCCCCTGAGTTCAATCCCCTACATCCCCCCCAAAAAAATCATGGTGCCTGGCATACAGCAAGTGCTCAAGAATTGCTAGGATTTGTCTTATTATTCTTGTCCTTTGAGGTGTCCTAGAAGGGCTAATGCAGAAGTTGCCTGGGTGCCCCATAGGACATGCGGGCAGTCACTGGGCTCAGACACCTTGGGCAAGTTGAGGTCCCTCTCTGAGCCTCTGCTTACCCATCTGTGAAGTGGGGCTATGGGGGGAATGCAGTGAGGAGGCCGAGCAGAGATACCCCCAGGGTCCCACACAGTCTCCATCCATCTCTCTCTCTCTCTCTAGTTCCTAAAGAGTAATCCAGAAACAAATAAATACGACGGCTGGCCGGAGCTGCTGGAACTGGAGGGCTGTGTGCCCCGGAAGGTATTCTAGGAGGAGTGTGCAGCGCTGCCTGGGCCAGGGGCCTGAGGGAGCTGCTTGCTGACTTGGGACCCAGAGCCCCGGGATGCTGCGCTGGGCTGGCGGGAGCCGACCTCGGAGGAAGAGGAGGGAGCAATCGCATGGAAGGTCCTGGCCGTCCTCACGCTCCCGCTCCCCTCCTGCTGCACAGCCAACACCCCCATGGCCCTGCGATGTCCACCCTGAGACACGCCCCCCCCAGGAACTGCAGACGGCTGTTGGTCCCAAGGAAGGACCGGCTGCCCACCACACTGGACCAAAATTAAATTTTTTTTTTTTTTTTTTTTTTTTTGCTGGTCTCGAGTGGACTCCCTGACCCCTCGAGATGCCTCCTTTCTCCCTGGGATTGGAATGGTCCAGACTCAGCTATGTGGGGCCGTGGGTGTGGGCAGGTTGGTGACAGCTTGGCATTCACCAGTCCACAGCTGGAGTGGAGCTCGGCTTCATAGGGGTTTCCTTTAGGCATGAAGGAATGCTTGGTGCCCAGGGTATCGTGGAAGATGACAGGAACAGGGAGAGCCAGAGGAGAGGACACAGATCATCATCTTTTTGTTTGTTAGTTAAGGTTTTTTTTTTTTTCCGGTACCTGGGATTGAACCCACAGGGGCTTACCCACTGAGCCCCATCCCCAGCCCTGTTTTATATTTTATTTAATATAAAAGAGGTCACTGAGTCACTGAGTCATTTAGGGCCTCACTAAGTTGCTGAGGCTGGCTTTGAACTCGTGATCCTCCTGCCTCAGCCTCCCCAGCCGCCGGGATCCTAGGCGTGCGCCACTGTACCCGGCCTATGGTCTTGTTTGGAGAAGAGCTAGAGGAAATCCAGAGCTGGCGAGGTTATTGAAGGATGGGCAGATCTGGGACAGAGTAGAAAGAGCGGGATTCAGGGGAGACGTCCTGCCTGGGCTTGGTTTGGGTTCCCCAAAAACCAACCCCCAAACAAGAATCCAAGTGCAGATGGCTTATTCAGGAGATGGTTCCAGGAAATGACCAAAGGGGATGAGGGAAGGGAGACAGGACAGGAAAGGAGGCCGATATAAATGTCGTCAACCAGCTACCGCTGTGGGCGGCTGGCGCTCCACCCACCAGGGACCTCTGGGTCCTGCAGAACAGGCACCCCAGACATAGCCTGGTCCACGGGGAGGGCGCTGGGGTATCTGTACGCCCACGCCCGCCATCATTTGTTGTGTGACATAAATTCCTGGGCACTCCTTGTCTGCCCCATGTGGGGAAGAGTGCGGCTCCCCAGTGAGCCCCTGGACAAGAGATGCCATGCCAGCCACAGGGAGGCCGCTGGACACACGGGGCGGGGAAGACCCAAGGGACACGGTACCAAGACGTGTCTGGGGTCTCAGAAGATCCCAGTTCCCAGGCTCTAGATCAGGTCCTAGGAGTGGTCCTGGGAGCAGAAAGCGTGGTGCTGAGCCCCCAGAGCTGTGCCAGGGGACAGCGAGCATGGGGGGAAGAAGCCCTCAGGCCACAAGGGTGTGGGACGGTGTCTAAGTCCTGGGAACGGGACCGGCTTCAAATGTGCCAAAGGGACATGGAGTAGAGAGGAAAGCAGGATGTAGGAACTCTGACCAGGGGCCTCCGCAGGCGGGGACAAGGTAGAGGCTGGTGGGATGGCTTCAGGTGGGCTCAGCTGAAGAAGTCAGAACTGGGCCCCAGCCAGCCAGCCCACCATTCCCCTCCTTCCCAGCACACCCAGAACGTCCTCGGGGGTTCAAAGGAGGGTCTTCTGACAGCCCCCCAAATAACCATCTGCACCCCCCCCACCACATCAATCCATGCTTAGAAAGACATCTGGCCAGAACCCATGCTCTCGGAGTGAAAGTGGAGGGACATTTCCACTGTCACCGTCAACGCCTCTGTATGCTTGGGAAGCTCTCTTTACAGCAAGCAAGGACGGCTCGTGAGATTTAAAAGGAGTCACCAAAGACAAAGTGACCGCACAGCCAGACACAGGGCTAGACAGGTGGCCCCACTGTAAAAGAAGGTAGAGCCCAGCACCGCGGCAGATGATTCCAGGAAGCTTAGGAGGCTGAGGCAGGAGGATCATGAGTTCAAAGCCAGCCTCAGCAACAGCGAGGCCCTAAGCAACTCAGGGAGACCCTGTCTCTAAATAAAATACAAAATAGGGCTGGGGGTGTGGCTCCGTGGTTGAGTGGCCCTGGGTTCAATCCCTGGTACCCCCTCCAAAAAAAAAAAAAGGACCTGGAATGGCCACGTGGGTGTAAGAGAAGACACAGGGGTGGCTCCTTTTCGGCACTTTAAAGGAGATTGACAGCGTGTAACTGGCTTAGAGAGTTGGGGAAAGGGTCTCCCAGAGGAGCTTGGAGAGGAAGGACATGGTGACCCCTGCCCATGGACACTCCGCCCAGGCGTCCTTTCCCAGCTCCGGCTTCTGGCTGAGCCTCACTCAGGCTGAGCGCTTGCGTGGAGAACCCGGCTCAGGGTTCGGCACCTTCTTTACTCCCAGGAAGAGAGACCTGGCGCTTCCGTCACCCAGGATGTCACCCACTGATGCCTGAGGGGGTGGGGGTGTAAAACTCAGCTCTTGGCCTTGGGGTGACAGAGCTCTCCATGGGATCTGGCTGAAGCTGCGACTCCGCCTGAAAGTGTCTTGGCTCAGCTGCCTCCCTCCTCCACTGCTCCCCCTCTCCCTCACCCGTGTCCCCCCGGGAGTGGGGGGGTCAGTCCTTCATAAACCACCTGCACCCTGAGGACGGTGACCCGGGCCCGCTGGGTGGGCCTGAGCCATCCTGGGTGGGGAGACGGAACCGCAGTGAGGAAGCTGCTGTGTCCTCCAAGGAGAGAGGGTAGAGGCCTGGGCCCAAAGACAAGGAAAAAAAGGAGGGCCCATGCCAGGACTATGAAGAAGGTAAACAGGTAAGACCTGCGACTGACAGTTCTCATGGGGTACGCCAGCCTCTGAGAACTTCTGCAGGCTAATGGTGGCCTCAGCTCGCTCCCGGCCATCGTCCCTGTCCCCAGCCCCAGAGAGTCCTGTGCTCTTCCCTCGGCCAAGGCCACTTTTCCAAAACTGTAATTCTGATCCTCACCAGCAGGTGGCAGCCCGAGACAGAAAGGAAAGGGCGGCGAGGCTCGCCCACACTGGGCTCTGCAGAAAGAGAAGTGGGTATCTGGACTTTCTGGCAGTGGGTGTATCACTACTTTTTTGGTTTTGGTACCAGGGTGACCCAGGGGGGCTTAACCTCTGATCCTCGGTCCTTTTCTGTATTTTATTTAGAGACAGGGTCTCGCTGAGTTGCTTAGGGCCTCACAAGGTTGCTGAGGCTAGCTTTGAACTCGCAATCCTCCTGCCTCAGCCTCCCGAGCTGCTGGGATTACAGGCATGCGCCACCTCACCCGGATCACTGGTATTATTAATAGTGACGTCATTGCCTCGCTGCCATGGAGAAATCCTGTTTTCCTAAGGCCCTGCCCAGAGCTTTACATGAATTACCTCATTTCAACCTCATAGCATCATAGGATAGGAAAACGAGGTTCAGAGAGGTCAAATGACTGGTCCAGTGTCACACAGATAAGGATTGGAATCCCAGTTGCCTCCATCACTACTTGAAACAGGTCCTTCAGATCTACCTGGCCCTAGAAGTGCTGTGAGGTAGACAATGTTTCTTCCTCTTCTCTCTCCTACCCTTCCCCTTCCTCCCCCACTCCACAATCCTGCTCCTCCTGAAGGCTCTCGATATCTGAAGAGTGCAGAGACCCTCTGGGTCAATGTGCTCAGCCTGCACCAGGATGGCTTTGGGAGAGAGGGACCGGGAGTGGCTGGAGGGATTTTTAAACCCTCTCACACTTGTAAGCCTTGCTTCTTTCCACAGGGTTGTGGGTCAGGAAGGAGTGGACACTCATACCCACTTTGCAGATGGAGAAGGAGAGGCTAAGAGAAGTGCCCAGACCACCCAGAGAGATAGGGCAGAGAGGCACGGGGAACTCCTTGGCCATCCACCACCAAACACCATCCCGTAACTCACCTGGGCCCGTGTGTCAGGAACCTCGTCCACACTGGGTACTACGCTAGGCTCCATCCCTCCTGTCACACCACAAGGTCTGGATGTCACCTTGAGACCCTAATCCTACCCAGACTGGGCTTCAGAGCCAGTTGAGGGATCTGGATTTCTGTGCAGCTGATAGGTCGTGTTTACGCTGGGCTCCAAGCAGATGGGAGAACATTAATAAATGTGTAGCACCTCCTTCTCTCCTCCCACCTCACCTTGAGCAAGCTGGTGGTCAATTATGGGATGGCTGTCCAAGGAGTCTAATCTTCAGGGTTGACTTGGAGCATGTTCACTACCCCAGCTGACTGCCAATGTAGCCATTGCCCTTTGTCATCTTTCAAGCTCTCTCCTTTCTGAAGGAGAGAAGCCAAGCGCCAGCCCTGACTGCAACAGTGAGCAAAGGGGTGGAGCCAGGCGAGGCAGGAGGGGTGGGGCCAGGCAAGGCAGAAGGTGGGGCCAGGCCAGGCAGGGGGTGGAGCCAGACGAGGCAGGGGGTGGGGCCAGGCGAGGCAGAGGGTGGAGCCAGGCCAGGCAGGGGGTGGAGCCAGATGAGGCAGGAGCTGGACCAGCAAAGCCGGGAGGAAGAAGCCCCGAGTTTGCTTGGCTGGAGGGGTGCTGGGAGTCAGAAGAAATATAGTAACAACAGTGACCAATAAAGTTAATCATTGTCCTGTGCTGAGCTCCTGCAAGAAGTCAGGGCTGTATTCAGCATTTTGCATACTTGGGGTATTTCATTTCATCCTGCATCTTTTATTTGTGGAATGGTTACAATGTGTCCCTCACTGTTCTAGACCCAATAAGTAAACTGACAACCCAGAGAAACCAAGTCTTAGCTTTTGTGAGACGACCATTCCAGGTAGGGGAGAGAGACCATAAACCCAGAAATAATATCCTTTCCATTGCTAAGTGGTGAGAAAGAAAGAAACAAGCAAACAGAGAGCCCGGGAGGCTCCCTTGCAAGGGAGGTCAGAGAAGGCTTCTGTGATTTGAGCCCAAAGGAGAAAAAGGAAAGAATCACACAAAGATCAAAAAATGAGCCGGACGCAGTGGCACATACCAGCAGCTGGGGAGGTTGAGGCAGGAGGATCACAAGTTCAAAGTCAGCCTCAGCGACTTATCAAGGTGCTAAGCAACTCAGCAAGACCCTATCTCTAAACAAAATATTTTTTAAAGGCTGGGGATGTGCCTCAGTGGTTGGTATTTAACCATTCCAGGTTCAATTCCCGGTACCGAAAATTAAAAAAATAAATAATAAAAAATGAGGGTGAGAGGAAGGATATTTAGGCAGCAAGAACAGCAAGTGCAAAGGCCCTGTTCTGGGAGCCACAGGTGCCGTGGCCCTGGAACTGTCAGGGAGAGAAGGGAGCAGAATGAGGTCCAGATGCTGGCTGAGCTTGCTAGGTCAGCCCTGGGGGAAGGGGGCAGGCTGTGTTCTGTTGGCCTCCACCAACCACTGCCATGTAATCAGTCCTCTGTATGCTAGTGGACAGGGAAGGTCGTGAGTCTCCCCGCCCTCAACTCTGGGAGAGGGTCTTGTGCTTTCAAGCACACAGTATTATTAACAGAGCGTGGACAGCAGCGCCAGAGAATCGCTGTTTTCCAGATGCTCTGCATGGAGCTTCCCAGGAATTTCTTCATTTCAACCTCATTGCACCATTGGGGGAGGGGTCATGTAGCCCCCTTTGGTCAAGCATAAGATCACAACCCAGCAGGGGACAGGGTCCCAATTATGCCTTAATAGAATAATGGCTTCAAGTGCACAGACCTGGCCCTTTTCAATCCTGTACAGGTAAATGATTCTCTCTCCTTCCCTGTCTCTCTTTCTCTCTGACACACACACACACTAAGGCTCAGAGAGGTCAAACCATGTCCTAAGGCTACACAGCCATGAGGGACAGAGCTCCAGTTCAAGCCCAAGGTAACTCTAATCTTAACCTCTGATCCAGGCTGGTGTCAAGAAGGAAGGGGTGTCGGGAGGCTGATGCAGGAGGACTGAGTTCAAAGCCAGCCTCAGCAACCCAGCGAGGCCCCAAGCAACTCAGCAAAAACCCTGTCTCTAAATAAAATATTCAAAAGAGCTGGGGATGTGGCTCAGTGGCTAAGTGCCCTAGTACAGAAAAAATAAAAATAAAAATGGAAAGAGTGGTAAGGAGGGTGCCTTCCTGCCAGGGGCCCTCTGAGAACTTGGCCTCAGGGCTGGAATCCAGCCTCCGGATATTCTCCTGGCCTCAGCCCAGGTCTCCTGCCCTCCAGCCTCCTGACAGCTTCTGCTCTCAGAGTCGCTCTTGGGGACAGCCCAGGGCCACAGGTGTCTTCCACTGTCTGCTCTTAAGGGCCCCACGCAGCCTGCCCTGAGCCCTGCACCCCGACAGGCAGCCTCCCCCGTCTGGCCCTGTGTGCTGCAGGGAGCAGCCAGGCGGGAAGGCCAAGTCCCTGCGGCGGGGCCAGCCAGAGGTCAGCAGCCACACCTGAGCCGTGGGAAGGGAGGAGGGGACCATCCTGCTTGCCCTCTACTTTCCCAGCTGCCTCCGTTTCCCTGCCTGAGAGAAGAGGGCTCTGGGAGGTGGAGAGCCCCAGGGACCCCGGGGAGGGCCTGTGGCCACCTGGGGCCTGGCGGCCCTCTGTCAAGGTCAATCGCCCTAAGCCCGTCTGAGGAGCTCCAGGCTTAGCGGCCGCTGCGAAAGCTGCCTTCCCGCCTGGGAGAATGAGTCACGAGAAGACGGGGGACCCTGGCCCCAGGAGCCCCTCGGGCCCTGGCTCCTGAGATCACCGCCAGCAGGGAGGACCCTGGCCCAGCCCCTGTGGCCCACCAGGCCCAGCGCCACTTCACGCCATGGGCGCAATTCAGGGGAAGAAGGTAGGTGCCCCGTGCACCCGGTCGTGACCTGGCTGGGGGAGACAGGCTGGGCCTGCCAGCGGGGAGCCCAGCCACCTAGGAGCCCCGGCCAGCAGGCCACCAGCCCCTCCACCCGTTCACAGCTGAGATCTGCCTCTGCAAACCCGGCTAGAACTCAGGGCGAAACCCACCCCGCCTGGTCTCTCCGTCTCTAGGACAGAGCCAGGGCAGCCCATCTCTCTGGTTCCTGGACTTAAGCACACACAGCTCTAATTCCTGGAATACAGGCTCCCTGGGCGCCCCCTCCAGGCCCCCCAAGGGGACATCTGGCCCAGGTGGACACAGGGGCAAGATAAAAAATGATGATTATAGTAAGTCGGCTAACCAGCTGTTTCCAGATGCAAGGTCCTGGGTATGTCATTTAAGCTAGCTTTTTTTTTTGGGGGGGGGGAGTAGGGGGGTGGTTACCAGGGATTGGACCCAGGGGTGCTTAACCACTGAGCCACATCCGCAGCCCTTTTTTATTTGTATTTTATTTAGAGACAGGGTCCCTCTGAGTTGCTTAGTGCCTCACTAATTGCTGAGGCTGGCTTTGAAACTGCGATCCTCCTGCCTCAGTCTCCCAAGCCACTGGAATTACAGGTATGCGGCACCGCGCCCCAGCATAGAGTAAACTTTCTATGCCTCATTTCCTCACCTGGAAAATCAGAACAGTAGCAGTCACTACCTAAAAGTCTCATCATGAGAATTTAATGAATGAAACACGTAAAGGGTTCAGAAGAGTGACTGGCAGATGGCGGGGTGTATCTGTATCTGCTCTGTTATTAGAAATATATTCATATTATTGTCCTTCACCCTCTAAGTCTGGGCTCTCAGCTGGGGGTTTCACAGCCTGTCTGAAAATGCGGCCAGGGAGTTCCCGCATCAGTATCATTAGGTGGGGAGTCGGAGGGAGCCCTTTAAACAGTCACTTCCGGGGGCCATTCAGACCTCCTGGATCAGTCTCTGCGGGAGGGGCACCTGCATTTAATGCACTGGCTCTCAGAGACGGCGCACAGGCTCAGGGCGCCTGCCCACGTGCACCCAGGGCTGGAAGCCCAGCAGTGCTGGTCTGGTCGCAGCCTCCGCCCGCCTGCTGTGGGAGGCCCTGCATGGCTCCAGACCTCTGCTCCTTTTCTGTAAGTCGGGAGGTTCACGAGAGGATGGCTGACACCCGCTTGGCCCTCTGAACCCCAGATTACCTGTGATGACCTCATCCTTACACATAAGGAACTCAGGCTCCGGGGCAAGAAGGGATTTCTCAGGCGGCACGTGCAGGCAGTGGGGACAGGTCGGGACACGGGCTCAAAACCCATCTCGCTTTTTGCTGGTCTGTGTCGGCGTTCCCCCACCTTCATTCGCTCCCACCCCGAATGCCCACTATCCCCTGGGCACCCGCTGCCCGGTGCCAGTGCTGTGTGGGGACTGGGGGTCAAGCATGAAGTCGCATGGTCCTTGCCCACAAGGGCTCCCTGGTGGACTGGGGCCACCTCAGGGAGGGAAATAGGGGGAGCTGGGAGGGTGGGCGCGCTGCAGGAGAGGGACAGGTCAGGCCGGTGCTTGGGTGAAGCCCCCTTTGTTCTCTGGAAAGGCCAGAAGCACGGGCTGAGCCTGCAATGTGCACGGGGTCCCTGCAAAGCGTGGAGAAGGGTCAGTGTAGGCCCATCAGAGCCCACCCTTGGGCCAGAGGTCAGGCTCCCTGTGGGTGGCTGCTGCTCCCCACGGAAGCCAAGGGCAGGTGCAGGACATTTCAATGTCATGGCCCACCCTGGGGAAGAGAGACGTCTCCCCAGTCTTGGCGTGGGCCCAGAAAATGGAAAGACACTGCAAAGGTTAAGGGTGAACAGAAGGTGCCCTGGGCCAGGAGTCCAAACACATACAGGGGCTGTAATGCCTGGGGCTGGGGGGCTGAGGGCCGCAAGTTCAAAGCCAGCCTCAGCAAAAGCAAGGCCCTAAGCAGCTCAGTGAGATCCTGTCTCTAAATAAAATACCCCTGAGTTCAATCCCCAGTACCACCACCCACCCCCCAGCAAAAAATATAAAACAGTGTTATGGAGAGGTTCCACAAGGCTCAAGGTCAAGGTCATCCAGCCAAGGTCATCCAGCCAAGGTCATCCAGCCAGTACCTGGCAGAGCTGAACTTTGAATCAGGAGGCCCAGGGTCAAGCTGTGCTGCCCAGCTTCTTTTTTTTAAAAAAAAAAAGAGAGAAGGAGAGAGAGAGAGAGAGAGAGAGAATTTTAATATTTATTTTTTAGTTTTCGGTGGACACAACATCTTTGTTTGTATGTGGTGCTGAGGATCGAACCCGGGCCACACGCATGCCAGGCGAGCGCGCTACCACTTGAGCCACATCCCCAGCCCCGCACTGCCCAGCTTCTGAGGGAGAACTGAGCAGGCACAAAGTTCAGCTCTACCTGGGACCAACTGGGCCACTTGTTTCACCTCCCAGAGCCTGGGTTTCCTTATTGGTTTAGCTGGATGATGATTTTACCTCCCACAGGAGATGAGTCTGGTGCCCAGGGAATGGCGGATGGTGCTGCTGCTGCTCAGGAGGCTGTAGAAGCTGCAGCGGGAAGGATGCTGCTGTACTGAGGCAGCCCTGCAGGCTGGCACACCTCTCTCGTCTCTCAGGCATTAACCCCAACTCACCCGGGTTGTTCACCACCCCCAGAGTCCCGGCCCTGTTGATATTTGCTGAGACTCTCATTGGTTGGCATTCATGTTCACTTAAAGAAAATTTCCCACTGAAACAAGAGAGAAGTGAAAATACAGGAAAGCCGGGGGCAGTGGTGCACTCCTGTCCTCCCAGCAGCTCAGGAGGCTGAGGCAGGAGGATCGCAGGTTCAAAGCCAGCCTCAGCAAAAGCGAGGCCCTAAGCAATTCAGTGAGACCCTGTCTCTAAATTAAAATATTTAAAAAAGGGCTGGGGATGTGGCTCCGTGGTTAAGCGCCCCTGGGTTCAATCCCTGGTACAAAAAAAAAAAGTACAGGAGAAATGGCTAAAATTTGATGGATGACCCAACAGGGAATGTTCACTCTGACAGAGACCAAAAGGCACACAACTGTCTCCCCAGACAACTCTCCCCACAGATGACAGATGGGCCCGCCTGGCACTCGGGCCACCCAGCCCCACCCAGCAGTGTGAGGGTGTCATTAAGGGGACAAGAGAAATGGCAGGTCGGGAGCTCATGGAGAGTGAAGAGAGCACACACCCAGACAGAGGCAGAGCCCCTGCCCTGCCCCTCCGCGTACCCCAGACCCTGGGCCTTTGCTCACCTTCCAGACCCTGGGCCCTTGCTCACCCTTCGGGTGACTGAACCCTCCAACTTGTAACCCCAGACCAGCTCTTCCCTGCGTCCCAGTCCCAGGGCCCGCCCCACCTGTTCTTGTCAGCCTTGGCCCATCTGTGCCTCGAGTTCCCAGCTACTGCTGTGACACTGTCCCCGCAATCAGCACGGCTGTTAATTCAGAAACCTGTGAGGCGTAGTGGGGGATTGAGAAAAGACAGACACCCACATAGAGAAAAAGCTAGGGCCAGGGGGAGACACTGTCCTCTGTTGGAGGAACAATGACCCAGAGCTAGCTCAGCAGGTTTATTATTAGGTTTCATCATCAAAAAGGTTTTCTGTGAAAGTTTCTGCAAAGCATGCAGGATTGAGGGTCAGAGACTAGTGGCCAGTTATGATGATCAATTTGCACTCATAATTCTCCATCCCTGGCAGCTGAATCTGGACTCAAGGTCAAGACTGATAGTCCCGTGCCTAGCACAGATCCTCCTTTAAGCAGGCCGTCACCATGGCAACTGGGCAGTCTTGACCTGCACCTTTGCACAGGAAGTTCCCAGGGCAGGCGCAGCTCCTGCTGTAGGACAGAGAACATGGTTCAAATCACAGCTCCCGACAACACGGTCCACCAAGGCATAAGATAGTGATGAGGAAGAGGAGAAAGACATCGGCTAGGGAACACCAATGCCACCAGCCAGCTTCTGTGCCACCCCTGAGAGGAGGCCTCGGTCCTGCTTGACACTGAGCTAGCCATTCCTCCTGCTTCTACTCACACAAATCACACAAGTGCTCTCACAGAGGACTATTATCCTCACCCCTATTTCACGGGTCAGGATACTAAGGCTCAGAGGTCACCAGCAAGACGTGGCTGGGCCAGGAGGTGCATGGGGGATCAGCCCAGCCGGGCAGCACTCACTTGGGGGACCTAGGCACACCACATCCTAAGGTCTCCCTATCCCCCTCCCTCTGCAGAAGACCACACTGAGGCCAAAGCCTTAGAATGGAGGTTCTTTGGGCACGGTTACAGGGAGGTGGATATGCTGTGCCAAGCAGAGGCTCCGGGACTCACTTGCTGGGTGATGTGCAAGCTTCAGTTTCTTTATTTGTAAAATGAGGATTAAAAATATTATTATTACTAGTGTGAAAAGTAACTGAGAAAATGCACATAGTAGTCAGGTACGGTGGTGCACGCCTGTGATCCCAGCAGCTCGAGAGGCTGAGGATCATGAGTTCAAAGCCAGCCTCAGCAACTTAGCAAGGCCCTGAGCAACTCAGTGAGACCCTGTCTCTAAATAAAATAGAAAAAAGGGCTGGGGATGGGGCTCAGTGGTTCAGTGCCCCTGGATTCAAACAGAAAGAAAGA